CGAAAGACTTGGCTCCGACTTCTGCTGCATGGTGTTACACTGATGTTGTAGCGATGTGCACATTTCGGGGGAACAACCAACCGAAGCCCACAGCAATGGCTAAAGCATCACTAGCTTCGCCTGAGTTTGGCTGAAGTGTCTCACGTCCAAAACGTCATTCCACGTGGTGACTTAATCATGCGGATTTAAGGAGTGAATGAGGGGGAATAACGTCTCCGCTGATGGTGTGCAATATTCAGACGAACTAGCTTAGTACTGCAGCACAATTCCCGGGAAGAACTACTAGTGCACCCGTGAGGCAATATCGTATGACTTTACGTTACTATCCTTTTTATAGCACTGTAATGGGAATGGCACGGGCCTCTTGACAACGGCGGATTCTTGGGGCGTTTGTCTTTAAGCAATGGAAGACAAGACGTAGCTGTCATGCTGCATTTGAGGCTTCAAGATGGCTTCAAATCGAGGGATCATTGAATCATGGGGATGTGCTCGGACTTTTGTTGTATTTCTTCCGTTCAGCCTTATTTGCAATGAGCTGATAGCTAAAGTCTGACGCTGATCTAGATGACTCGTTCCAAGCATGTATCAAGGGTCTCGAGTCCAACCTACACTCGGGCTGTAGACCAGTTCGCCTTGCAGGGCCTAAGGATTCGTCTGGTATGTCGGACTAAGCTGTTCCGTTCAATGAAGAGGAAGCGGTTTCAGTTTCTGTGCTTTTGACACGATTAAATCATGGCTTGCATGATAGACTGTTATTCCACGTGAGAATGCCTTGTGGCTACTGTCGGACGAAGTCGAGGCTGAAGAGATTCAGGTATATTCTGCTAAAAGACCAGAGTCTTCATTGGCCATGAGGTTTACAGCCGCATGCTTGATTATGTCCCAAGGGGGTGGCGAATCTGGATAATAGTTATCCGTCTCCAGAGCATTTTGTGTGCTTCTCAACACAGCTCTTTGTAATGAGTAATCTCGCACTTGGAGCAATTTCAGCGATCGACAAAATGCCAACGGGATTCTTATCTTGCTACAAGGTTTGTCAACCCCAGGTTCGCTTCCGACTGGAGATAGCGACGAAGCGCAATCTGGCCCCTGGTTCTAGTTCCGCACGGTCGTGAAGCTAGGTGCAATAACCAGCGAAGCTAAACCCGTAGGACCAGACGCTTCTCGCTTTTCACGCCGCAGATCATATATTTTTGGCCGAAGTGACCGTAGCCTCTAGGAGATCAACGGCGAGTTGAGACGTTTGTTTTTGTTGTATTGAATAGTAGGGGCGCTTGCAAGACGGCCCGTCTGGACGATATCGGCCTGTCCTCTTGTGGTGCCTCTAGTGTCAGACCTTTGGGATATGAGAAATAGATGATAGCGTAATTGAGTAGTTCATCGATCTTCAGAGGGTGTCAAAGGCAAACCACATCCCTAAGCATACCAGCCCAAGAACTGCGCCAAGAGCCTGCCTGTCTCGAAACAACAGACAAAGATTCATGACAATAGAGTTTAGGGGATCCGGGGTCTCATCGTTCCGGGAACTATTGTCGATTCTGGAGAAAGCCATGTTATCGTTCTCCCCCTCATTGTACCCCTGTTTCTTGAACCAGGTCGTTGGGTCACTTGCAATGGATGGCTCTCGAGTCACTGAGACAACAAAATGTGATAGAAGCACAGAATTGCAACCCAAAAGTCAAAGCGGGATGTGAGCCATTCTTCCGTCAATTGTGGATCCAACGACTAACTAAAGCGATTTTAGTTGTCGATCTCAGCCCTGTTCAAGGCCTTGACTCGTGCACTAGATCCTACATAAGCAACTAACATCGCAATCTTATCCGGACGTACGGAAGTTTTATATACGACCAGTGTTCACTTCAGGATACGACTTTGCTGAAACTGAGTCTGGAGACGAGGAAAAAAACCACCAGAAAGATCGGCATTTCATGGGGAAATGGAAATTACGGGGATCTTCCCCGGACTCGATGCATGTAGGTAAGTAATATCGTGGGTCGAAAAAAGCAATGAAAGGAGATGAAAAGTCTATCGACAGCCAACAATCCTCTTCGTCCGGACTAGATGCACCAAGTCCAAGGCCCTGTACTCTAGACGCGCCCCGGAATTTACCACTGAACTGACAAAGTGGCTCACAGAAGCTTTTGTGGCTTTCTGCAGTCCAGTTTCAGCGGTTATCCAACGCCACTGAAGCCCTCGTGCTTAGCGCATCATCACTCATGGAACAAGGACGTGGAGAGACGGAGTCAGTAGGGATCATGCCTGTTGATTGTACCAATGCACCGGATGCAAATTCCGCCACTGCAGATTCATTATACCACTAGCTTTGGCCTCTATGTACTGTACGACTCGGATCACCGCCTTCCACTAGCTTTTCTGAGGCCCCAGGGTTCTTCCCTTGTACCCGGCAAGCCTGGACCAGCATTGGATGCACGACTAACTCCTGCTGAGAATTCAATCTTGCTCCAGTGGACATTGATATAAACTACTGCATTCCTCTCATACAGGTCATTTCTCATGTTGTGTTGTGTTTCATATCGACTTCTACAGTCCCCGTTTTCTGGGGTAACTTGATCTCACTCTCTTCATACGAACCAACCAACATCGGCGAGATCAAGTCACTCGAGCTCTTTCTATTGCCATTATGGCAACCGAAAATGGCTTCCTCGTCCCTCCAAACTTCAAAGAGGAGCCTCCTTCTGACGACGATATGAATTTTGCTTCGATCATCTGGGGTTTATCCCTTGGCGTCACCATCTTCAACTGCGGAAAAGCCATGCGTCAAACTCAAGCAGCAATCAGAAGGCGGAATCGATTGACTCTATATATTATGTTTATTTGGCTCGAGGTCTGCTCCAGCACTGTTCTTGGAATAATGGTCTGGTTATACCTCCGTGGGATTATAAAACCGAGCTTTCAATACTACTTCTTTATCAGTACGTCACTCACACTTTTCCACCTGTCACACACTGACTCTTTAGTCGTCTTTTGGTCTATACAGGTTCAATGCTTGATTCAAATCATCATCAACCGAGTCAGTCTGCTAATGGTTGTCCGTCGAAATGGAACTATTCTCAAGTGGACTTGCTTTGGAATCCTCTTGTCCATCAACATCAGCGTTTTCTGTGTCTGGATTCCTGCACGTCTTCAAATTAGCGAGAAGTACATACATGTCAACGAAATTTGGGACCGTATGGAAAAGGTCCTCTTCGCCATTATGGACGCAGCCCTCAACTTTTATTTCATTTGGGTTGTTAAGCAGCGTTTGGTGGCAAACGGTCTTCAAAAGTACACCCGTTTGTACCATATGAATATGTTCCTCGTCGCAATTTCGATTGCCTTGGATGTAGGTTACCGTCTTTCAAACTCGGTTTGCCACCTTGTGCTGACTTTGTTCTAGATTCTCCTTATTGGAATGATGTCTTTACCAAACAGCTTCGTCTACGTCCAGTTTCACCCACTTGTTTATCTCTGCAAACTCCACATTGAGATGAACATGGCAGACCTTATTGGAAAGGTTGTCCGAGCCGGCAACAACCAGGCAGATGGAACGCACGATTACAGCTCTCGCTCTCGAACTACTGTCAAAACTGGTACCCGACCTGCCGGAGCCAGTCGATTTGGAGGCGGTCTCACACGAACACATATCGAACTCGGCGAGGAAGATGAGATCGAACTCAAGCACCGTGAGAACCTTGAAGGAATCAAGAAGACTATAGTTACAGAAGTCATTCGATCACCAAACAGCGAAGATGACGAAATCACGGAGCATCACGAGAGAGCAGTCAGCGAGGCGAGCTCTACAAATGCTCGTCACGAGCCTTATAGTATTGAACATGCGAAATAAGCGATTTAACCACTGGATACTGGGAACTTAACATATACATATATAATTAGAGGGAGCTTCATCCTCTGTGTACCAACGATAGAATATAACGCAATTAATGGGACCTCGCAGATGCACCGTGAAAACTCTTCAGAACTAATGATGTACGACTTGCTTATGACAGCGAGAGAGCAGGGCAAGTCCCTGTTGAAGGATTTCAGCTGGCCCCACCAATCTGCAGGTCCCTCTGAGGATCTCATGCAGTCCCCGCAAAGCCCTGACAAGGATGGATGGACGAAGGGGATGCAACTCCACCAGATCAGGGGGGTTTTCTGGGGTAACCAAGGCCTCTTCCGAGTCTGGCGCCTGCAGCTGACGAGTTCCCATTGTCCGATTGTGACTGTGCAAGGATTAGTTTACATGGGGTTTGATACAAGTGCCAACTCATCCTCATTTTCGAAACTGCACGACTCATACCCCATCTCTCAACGGTGGCTACCAACAGCCTCACATGCCAAAGACTTGGTTTTTCCCATCATTGATCGTTTCTCGGTCCCGAGTTCCTGTTGTCTGGCTCTTTCCGGCAATAAGGCTTCGTAGGAGAACCCGTTTCTAAGCCTCTCGACTAACGTCGCGCTTACATAGCTTAGTTCCTCTTCCGGGCGATGGGATGAACGATTCCTCAAAAAGGCATGGCCTTGACGCTATCCACAGATGGCATATACTAAGCAAGTTGGGATGATTAAAAGATGGGGTAGAGCTATTGACTGCGATAAGCAAATACTTTGCATTCGACAATCTCGGCCTTGTCACCGTTCCCCGGACTCAAAATATGAGAGCTCAGACAGAGGCAGTGGCTTTCTTTAGCAGACGCCACTGTGGTTAATAAAGCCCCTGCAGGGTTACAGAACAAAGAGCCTTCACTTCCCGCCCGTTATTGGTCTCTTGCTGCCCAATGCCTCTCGCTGCCCTGTCAGATAATACCAGTAGTACATAGTACATGGTTACATATTACATTCACAGCTCCTGTGATTCCGCAAAGGCCCCCTCCATTGATCAAGTTTCCACATCCGCAAATCGAATACACAAACCATTCTCCCTTTAATGATCTCTCCTGGTAGAATAGCCCAGAAAGTTCAAAAGGGTTGAGATCACACCAACTGCCTGGACAAAATCCTCAAAGTGACAAGATGAACTGCTCAAGGTTGATGACTCTGGTCTCGACTTCGTCCAGATCCTTCCGATCCATGCGTGCAAGCTCGATATGTGCTCGTATCTCCGCAACTTGTTCACCAATATCAATCAGTGTCTCTCGATTCTTCTTGAACTGTTCAGTCATCTCGGTGTGCATGTTTTGGATCTGCTTCGTCGTCTCGATATGCATCTTCCGCATTTTGTCAGAAACACCTCGTTTCGATTCAGTCGTCACATTGGTAATGAGATTTTTCAACTCGAGGAACCGCTTGTTCGAAATTGGAGTCTGGGCAGAGTCGTCCTTAGGGGGAGATCCGTCGCTGGCCACGGATTCAACGTCTGCTTTGGACACAGCGCTAGGACTGACGCACAGCTTTGTGTCATCGGAGCCATAATTCGATACATCTACTGGCGCAGTACTCGACTTTGACTGCAGAAACTTGCTGTAAGAAGCACTGTGAGGTTCTCCAAGAACCATGCCTCGCATTTTTGACTGGACCTCCTTCAAACGCTGGGCGAAAGGCTTATCAGTTCCAGTGGAGCGGAGCTGGTCCAGGTGAGGCTCGAATTTCGGGACATGTAGTACATTATCATCTACTGTGAGGTTAGTAATAAGAAATTCATGTCCCGGAGGGCATATCTCACTAGAGGTGTAGTCCTCTTCTTTGAGGGACAAGTCGCTCGGGCTGATCTCATAATCTTCCTCAAGAAACTTCTTCTCAAAGCAGGGAGTCATAACCTTGAGCTCGAGTTTCCCGGCGATGTGTTCTTGAGGAGCCTTACAGGCAGCATTGGGAACAGGACCAGCGAAAGTACCGAGATCTATACCCGGATACTTTTCCATCAGAGTAAGTCTGAGAGCTTGAAGTTTCTGATCAGGGTACATGCATTGGAGGATAACCCAGAGTCCGAAGGTGATTTCGCGTTTGTAGAGTTTGTGTTTACTGGGGACCTTTCGGTTCGTAAGGTTAGTTCGCACCTCAGGGAGGAGACGATAGATATCCCTCTTGTCTTGAGGGCTCCATCCGGAGGCGAACTTGTCCCAAGCCAGTTTGAGTCTTCCGAGGCTCGCCTGGTCTTCAAGCTCTTGTGACAGCAAAGGCGAGCCCAAGTCTGGAAAAACCAAGTCTGCGAACTTTTCGCCCGTTGAAGCGGAAGAAGTTTCTTGTGCGCTCTGCTTTTCGACCTTACGATGCAGTTAGTAGGGTTGTGTAGATGAGTAACTTGGGTCTGGCTGAATGTATCATACTTGCTGGGTTGATTCCATCTTGCATCTGGACAGGAGCCAGTTGAGAGTTGGCGGAAGTTACAACACTTCAGAAATCGATCAAATACGAGAATTGTCCTCGTCAGGACAAAAGACGATGGAAGAAAAGAAATCCAGAAACGAGTCTCGTATTCCTTTAATTTTCTGTTATAGTGACGCGTCCATGTTTGCTATAACCTCAAATCGAAGTAGGCAGTGCTTGTCACTTAGCAAATGCTTTGCTAGTACTTAGAGGTCAAATAGACAGTCCGAGAAGAAACATTCATCGAAATACCTAGGTATACAGATCAGTCTCTCATTATTAGATCAAAAAGAAAGTTGACAGGAATCTGATTGAGAAAACCTAGTGCTCACCTCCTCCACGTCAAAAAGACGTTGGTCAGTGATATAGGCAACTCAGCAGATTTATAGATATCTCCATAGGTGGGTTTGTAAGACCTTCTTGAAATTTTAAGATTGAGGTTATAAGCTTGAGTTAATGCTTCTCCGAGGCAGTTTGGATAAAAAGAGATGCTCTTGTCATGAACTGCTAGAGCGTTGTTGCCCAACATAGTAGCATCTGCTCTTCCCAGCTGATAGAAAGCTTAGGTACCTAACTATATGAGCAAAATCTCTTCCCATTGCATCTCAGGGCATCAAGATCAGAACAGCAGCTGCGTTTCCCATATCTCAATATTTGTCACGTTCTTCTATTATTGCAAACTGAGACCATGTCTTATCATTGACAGGTCGATCTCTATTCTTCAATATAAACATCATCCAACATGACTCTACACCAAGAATCAATAAAGCCGAACTAGCTTGGTCCTGTAATCTTTACAGCAAGACTTGGCGTGGAGCAGGGGAGAGTAGCGAAGCCATTGGATGGTGCGCGGCACTCAGGTCAGTACATTCGACTTTCAGGGAGGATCCAATCTAACAACTAGATCATCCAGAGACTCTACCATCGTCATTGTCGTTAACTGGAGTTAAGCAAGGGTAAGCTAAAGAGGAGTTTGTCTCCCCCTCTGCCACCAAATTTCGACCTCAGAGGCCTACCCTTCGTAGAACCAAAAGCTTGGGACATTATCCTCATCGTTCTGACCCCCAGAGCTACACAGCAGCCTGGTCTGCACTGAATTCAAATCTGTTCCAGCACAATCAGCCTCTACAAGCCCCTACGATGGCATTTTCCCCCCCGGCAGTATCAGAGCAACCTCCAACAATGCCGCATCAATCGTCAGCGACACCATATAGCCTTCTACAGCACCATGCCAACCTTCAAAGTTATCCATATCAACCTCCGCCTGTGCCTTTGACATACCCAGCTGCACTAAATAGGTATCTTAACCCAAGCAAAGTGTCTGGTGCTCAAAAGAGAAAATCACAGCTCAAGGACAACAATCATTTGAAACAGAGTCCGGAGAGGCACCAGGCTATACCTCGTGCTATAGCTACTATACCGCCTGGTTGCTCCATTATTAGGACCAGTGGTAGAAGCCCGAACTTCTAGAAGTTTGCAGAGAACCCGGTGATAGGGAGCAATAGCTGTGCTGCGAGGTGGAGCTCATATATAGCTTAAGAAAGACCATTAATGATGCAGCTCTTCCTAAAACACTACTGCTGCTGTGAACAGAACAGATTTGAAACGTCATGGGATTGACGAGTAGAATCTCCCAGATGAATATAACTAGGTATCTTGGCATTCTAGTTTCCTCAGGTAACAGAACGTCACCTCATCCTCAAGCAAACGAAGGAAAACGCCATGATATGGCCTTGTAACAGAATACGGCTACACAATCCGAGGATTATGAGTATCGCCATGGTGTCATAAACTTTGGAGGTTACTGCAAGGCGCAGATCCAATTCATTGGATATCTGACGCAGGTATTACTCTTCATTTCCCTCGCACCTCCGAGTCTGGCTACTGAATTGCGGCTAGAAACTTCACAGCCCCCTTCATCTCTAGTAGTAACGTTTCCCCAAACCCCCAAGTAACTCCAATTCGAGCTTCCACCCCCATCACGGCAACCTTCTCCTAGCGTTCGGCCCGTCCACCGGTCAAGTCCGAGTTTGACGATCTCGATACCCCTAGACCTTCTAGAAACGGTCTACGCCTCAACTCAAAGAGGTTCCCTCACAAGCAAAAATAGAACATTCTGGGTTTGAGGCGTAGAATGATCTGGCGGAAATGACGTTTGGAGTAGAAAAAGATCGAAGATATGTTACCCACTTGCCTTGTATGGAAGGGATTCGTTGCTCTGTGCATTATTCCCGGAGGTTAGTCCGGCGCTTTGCTAGGACCCGGGCTTGGCACAGTTTTTTCTTCGTCTTCGGCTTGAAAATTTGCTAAACGGCATCGTGAACGGATGAGGCCGTTGTCGGAGAAAGAGGTTCTCACTTTGACTCATTCATTTCACTAGTTCAGCATCGTGATACTCATGCGCCAAAGGTGTGCCAATATGGCTTCAACCTATCAATGTCTCTTGTGCAGCCTCATCTGGCAATTCCTTATCTCCCAAGCCTCGTTATCATTCCCCGGCGTGGGAACTTATCTCTCGACCCCGGAATCCCCAGAGTTTGAGTCTCGGTAGAATGATCAGAGATAAGGCTAATGCTCTTCAAATCCGGGCAGCTCTGCAATTGGGCCATACACTTGCCTTATCTCTGCAATTGTTGGATTCCCTACATACATGTCTTGCATATAGTCTATTTGGATCTGAGACCATTTCTGGGATACAGATGATAGACAATACATTGACCTGCGAGGTAGAGTTGGTCACATGATCGGAGTTCTGCTTCGCACGCCGCAGAAATAACTACATGCTTGTTTTTGTATGCGCATCATCTATTCAGAGGCCATCGAGGTGTCTGGCATACACGAATGCAAGTGATTGTATCGATTTAGGTCAACAGCAGCCATAAAAACATGCCATGTGGAATCATGTTCGACGCTCAGAAAGAAGTGGCTTTCGGAGAACAAGCCCAACCTTATTCCCGGACGGACAATAGACCAGTGGCATCAGAATTGCATTGAAACCAGCTGGTGTCCAATGAAGTGAATTCCCATTGCTAAAATGGCATCACGGCTAAAGTTAAGCACTCTCTGTAATATCGCGAATAGAAAACTCGTATGTGTTCTCATATCATCTTGTCGGCTAAGCTAGACATTGAAATGTGAAGTGTTATATGACAAGTCTATTTTTGATGGCACGTTTCTCGTGAGTGTCCCAAGAAACAGTCGATTGATGCACGGACGTGGCCGGTCGAAGATTTTAGGCACATGACGCACAGGCCCCTGGCATCCAGAGAGGTCACTGTCGGCAGAGAAACAACCCTGGGTGTACGTGTAATCGCAAGGATACGGTTCAAGGTACCGTAAGCACTGTGTGAAAACAGAGGAGCCTCAAACCCGCCAAATCGCTTGGTTTCTTGTGGGAAGGACAAGTGAGAGCACTTCACAAGGCAGACAAGTTTAAGCCAACTGCCTCGAGGCGTGGACATCACGGAGTTGTGTTCCGCATATTAAAATGTTGTCGGGTACTGTACCGAACCTCTTACCTTAGTTACAGCATCTGCCGCCCTGCCGGCCGAGCTCAGACCAACGCCGAAAGACAAATTTTGGTGCGTGACGATCGATCTGGATGTAAGTTCATGCGAATTGAGCCTCATTGACTAATGGGCGTCGATCGCTCACCGTTGCAACTTTTGGTTGCAACCGTGCTGAAGCCAAGCTCAAGCTTTATTGCAATTATCTCGTCAAAACATCTGCCGTGGAGCCTAAGAGCCCAACTTTCCATCTTTGTTGATGCCAGATGGGTCTTTGTTGAAGGCCATTGCATGTTTGTGACTCTGCTAATCCTGACCGCTTCGATTTATTGGTTTCAGGAGCCGTGATGCTAGGTACTGAACACTCCTTGCATTTTCGTTTGTCGGAATGAGACGCTTCACATCGGAACGCTGAGAGGACAAGACGGGCCGCCAGGTCGTCGTGAAGTGGAAAGGGCCTTGTAAAGGGAGTTTCGAATCCACCTGAAGTCTCAACTCGTCTTGTGATGCTCCATGCCCCATTGTAAAGGAGGATCCAATGGTATAATTATAGCGTAAATTTGCACCTTGTTCCAGTGCGGCTCAAAACTGGCCCACGCGTTTGTGCAAATGAAGGAAAATTTTCCAGAGGCGTGTAATTAGCAGGACGGTCGTGCACGAAGCTTCTACCACGCAAATGTTTATTCCCAGCTGAGTTCAAGGGTCGCCAAGAAACGATCTTGGATAGTTTTCCATGATGCGATGGTCTATCGAAAATGGTGCAAGCAATGGCGAATATTTCTGGTTAACCGCAAAACTGTTCGCACCTGAAAAATGCTGCAGGCCAGCCATTGAGAAACGAGGACCAGCGGCAATTTCTAGATGCTGAGGCCTGAAAACACGTTGCGCTGGTTTGAGCCGTGATTGCACCATCGTGACGGCGCCCTTCCCGAGATGTCGACGTACCATGGTCACTGACAGGGCTGAGGAGTGAACGCGCAAGGACTTCCCACGATGGGCACGGGCTGCGAATTGAATGTTGGCTTGTTGTTCAGGGGGGGCTCCAACTTTTAGGTAATGGCTGAGGCACTGTATGGCTGGAGGCCGATGCATGATCTTCAGGAACGGGCAATGCGTTATATGTTTGTACCCTGGCATAGAAGCGAGGCTCCTTGAATCGAATCAATTTTTAGTCAAGAGCCGCATCATCTGAGATGAGGCTCTCCTGCGTCGGTCTCGGCCGACGATTTTGGTGGTGTGCACAGTGGCACTTGGTGATCTCGTGTTAGACAGGAACGTGGCATGAAGACGAGTTAACGAATCAACAGTGACCTCTTGCGTAAGTAAGAGAGCTCGAGTGTGTGTGGGACTTCGAACTGTGGCGATTTACAGTACCAAAATTGATGCCAAGGTGGTGATACTGCTCCACTTTCAACTACACGAGCTGACGAGGGCATCTAGAATCAATCCCTAAAGACTTCCGTGAGCGTTCC